TTTTATATGTATATATAAATAATTAGAAATATATATTTAATAAATTAAATAATATTTTTATAAAAAATTTATTTAAAAAGAAATAATATTTTCTATAAAAAATAAAATAAAAATGTGTGAATTAATCTTATAAAAGTATTTCGATTAAAAATAAATGATAATATGTATGAATAATAAACGAATGTGAACGAACGAACGAATGAATGAATGAATGAATGAATAAATAAAAATAAATAAATAAAAATAAATAAAAATAGTAGAAAGAAATAGGTAAAATGGGGAAAAGAGGTTAAACGACACACAATATTTTCTAACTGTTCTAGAAAAATGTAGCACCCACCATTAAGCGATCATTTATTTCATTTATTTTTCGACGGCTTAATTACCGGCGCGGTGGAACGTTAAATGCCGACACTTAATTGCACCGTAATTATAAAGTAATTTACCGTTCGGGTCCGCGTACTAAAAATGTTTTATATGTATATTTATACTACCAACACACATATATATATTTATATATGTATACATATATATATATATACCAACATTATTGATAAGTATGGTATTAACTAATACGAAAACTTTGATATTCGATTTATAATAATAACAACAACAACCAAAACTCTCATTYTCTCCATAAATAAATAAATATATATATAAATATTAATAAATATTAAAATATAATACAATGAATTTGATAATTATTCAAAAAATATTAAACAGACAAATAAACTTAAGCTTAATTATCACATATGTATATAGATATTAATGAATATTTCTATAAGCAAATTTAATAATACTAAATTATATTGATTAATATAACAACAAGTTACAGGATTAATATTATTTAATATAAAGCTTAATTAATATCTCTTTAAATATAATTTATTATATACATAAAATATTATTTTTTTAAAACCTCATTTCTATAACCAAATTTAATAATACAAAATTATTGATTAATTTTAAATCAAGTTACATATTAATATTACTGAATGTAAAAACTAATTAATATATATATATATATATATATATCTTTAATGAATTTATTATATAAAATATTATTTTCTATAACGAAATTTAATAATAAAAAAAAATTCCATTGAGTAACATAACAACAAGGTTACAGATTAATATTATTTAAAATAAAACCTAATTATAAAATACAATTTAATTAATTTATTATACAAATTATCAAATAATACAATATATATGTATATGTATATATACATATGATGAAATTGTACTAAAAAAAAAAAAAAAAAACAACATATATATTATATATTTACAATATTTATATGAATGAATATACGTCTCTCTCTATATATATATATATATTTATACAAATATATGTCATACCGTTATGCAAACATTACGTAAACAATAATAACCAAGGCCTGTCGGCAAAATACACAAACACATTTCGATGATGCCGACTGATGATGTTATTATACTATACTACGTGAAATGAATTGAGTTAGTACGAGTATAACTCTTTGATGTTGAACCAAACGAACGTAAGCAAAAGCTGTATACACAAGTATTCCTTCTCTTTCTCTCTCTCTCTCTCTCTCTCTCTCTCTCTCTCTCTCTCTCTTTCTCTCTCTTTCTATCTTTAAACCTAATATGTTCTCTAACAAGAATTGTATAACACACAAGAGATAGATAAACTTATGTATTAGTAACGTTTAAAATCAATTTTACAAATCTTTATGACGAGAGTTGTTAAAGATCAACGTGAATTTATGGTTTTTTCATATTAACTCAAAATGACTTACATTATTTTTTTATTTTATTATATTTTATTACATTATATTTTTTATTTTATATATATATATATATACGTAATATTAATTATATTAATTAAATTAATTAAATTAATATATTATATAAAAATAAATAATTATATAATATATTAATTAAATTAATAGAATTATATTTTATATAAATTAATACAAAATTATTAATAATTTAATAATATAATATAATATAATATCATATTAATATAATTATATTAATTAAATTAATTAAATATTTTTTAATATTAATTATATAATTTATGTATAATTATTTTATATAAAATATAATATAATAATAAAATTAATTTAATTAATATATTATATAAAAATAAATAATTATATAATATATTAATTAAATTAATGAAATTATATTTTATATACATTAATACAAAATTATTAATAATTTTATAATATAATTAATATTATATAAAATATAATATATAATTTAATATAATATTAATATAATTAAATTTTTATATATGTAAATAATTAATATTAATTATATTATATTAATAGGGGAGGCGAAGAAATAGATAGAAGAGTAGAAATGGCGTTGAGGGGGGAACCGGTGCCCCAACTGTGTGCATATGTGAGAGGTTTCGAAAGGCTARCCAGGAAAATGGGCCAGGATAGGGGGGAGGGGGRAACGAGAAGATAGACAGAGTGTGAGTGGAACAATTAGACATATAAGGAAATAGATGTARGGAATATGAAGTATATATATGTTATAGTTTTATATAGTCTATATAGTTACTAAATGTGGTATATTGTTTAATGTTGTTTATATTGTTTTATAATGTTTTATATTGTTAATACTAATAGCTAATATTATATTAGGGCATAATTAGAATTAAGTATATTGTCAAGGGGAACGAACATGTAGAGGGGGCCTTCGGGGTAAACACCCTAAAAGGGTATACCTGAAATAAACTTCTTATCTATCTTATCTATCTATATTATATTAATATAATTATGTAATTATTATATATTTAAATTAATATATATATTTATTTACAACAACTTATTTGATTACAACAACAACACAAAATAATACCACAATTACAATGGAATATTATTATTAATATATAAATTTATTTTATATGCAAAATTAAAATTAATACGAATGTGAAATATTTATGATAATTAACTGAATTATGTTTTGTTCAAGTATACCTTAATATGTTATTATGAAAAATGTCAATGTATATTTATATAATCGTCATAATTATAATGATCGGTTTTTAATGGTCTAATGCAATATTATATCATATATATATATATATATATATATATATATATATAGATTATTTATTACAAATTCTTGAAATATTTTTCATTTCATTGATACGTTAATGAACTTATAAGACTGATCATTTAACATTGTTTACGTTCGATAATTGTAGCAAATATAAATAACCGGTTTGNTATTTATTACATAAGAAAATATATATATATATATATATATATATATATATATATATAATGTTAATACTAAATTCTTGAAATGTTTTTCATTTCATTGATACGTTAATGAACTTATAAGACTGATCATTTAACATTGTTTACGTTCGATAATTGTAGCAAATATAAATAACCGGTTTGACTTTTTTTTTCCTTCACTACTCCTCCTCCTCCTCCTCCTTCTCCTCCTCCTTCTCCTCCTATTACATTAATTCCAAATGGAACATTTCCGTTTGAAAGGAAACAGAAATAAGGTTTAGTTAGTTTGAATAGAAATATCTCGTACATAATTCTTTTATAATGAAGTTTTTAACAAAAATAAATAAATAAATAAACTATTTTTTTTTTTAAGTAATAAGTAATAATTATTAATAAATATAATACAAAGTTATTCGTCGTTTAATTAATAAAAAAATGTATACACATATACATACACACGAGTTATTATTTTAAAACGAACAAGCATGTTGAATGATAGATAAAAATAAAATCTTTCCTTTAAACCTAACAGCTGAAAATAAAAAAGGTAAAGAGTTGACTGAAGTTTGTGACGATGTACATGTGTCTGTCTGTGTGTTATATATATATACATACACACACATATACACGAGATTACAAGATCCTCGTAGTTTTCTTGATACCATTATGATAAAAGCATGTATTTTGCTTGCTTAAGAAGGGGAACCAAGGTTTTTGTACTCGAATGGAAAAGCTTGGTAGGAATAAATGAAAAATCTTGAAGAAGAAAATCAGATCTTCCTTCCCATTGTGTCTTATTATATTCAAAATATAATTGAGAAAAATTTGATATTTATATAAATAAATCTGTTCACTTTAACATTTATTTTGCATTATTTAGGTAAATTTTTTAATTTAAAAAAACATGTATAATATAAATTAACTATGTTGAATTATTTGACAAATTTACTCAAGCATTTAAAAAAGAAATTAATTTGTAATATTTTTTCAAAGATATTTAATTTCAATTAATTTCAATTTAAATTTGATTTTTTTTATGATCTCAAATTTGTTTTAATACTTGTATGTAAATTTGTTTGATTATTTTTTAATTGTATCAAAAAAAAAAAAATAAATAAATAAATAAAAAGAAATCAATCGATTAACTAACATGATTCAACATTACCATTGAAAATCAATTAATTTTCCATGCAAATTATATTCCATAAGATACGTAACGATCGTGATAATGATGATAATGATCGTGATGACTAAGTATGTCAATAAAAATAAAAATAAAAATCAAATAACAATTCATCAATTAAAAAATCGATTATACAGTCTATTATCCCACTTGATTTATTTTGTATAAAAAAAAAAATAATAAAAATACAACAATCAAATACTTCTATTAA